TCTCTCTCTCTCTCTCTCTCTTGCTCTCTTTCTCCCTGTTTCTCTTTCTCTCTGTCTCATTCTGTCTTGAGATATTGTGCAGAACTAGTTTTTATTTTCCAGCTGTTTTTGTGGAATGTTGTGTTGCATTCTGATATCTGTCCGGATTGATGGGAGCTTGTTGGATCTGAGGTGTCATGATTTGTTAGAAATTATTCTTTTTTAGTTGTGCAATTTTATGCTTCTGGAAAAAAAATTGTTTTTTTTCTGTTTATTTTTGATCGGGGATGGAATAGAAAGAAGAGGTTAGAGGGAATAGCGATGTGTTTATTTATTTAATTATTTTTGTGGGGGTGGGGGGAGGTGGAGGAGAGGGGATTAGAAATTAGAAATTTGAAATGGCAAGCTCTAGATCGACTCCATCGTGGGTGGGAGCATTACACTTGTGAATCTGATTTTTTCAAACATCACACTTGCGAACCTATTCAATTTTGAGCAAACTCAAACGTTACACTTGCGAACCTATTCAATTTTGAGCAAATTCAAACATTACGCTTGCGAACCTCTGGATTCTAGTGGTTGAACAAAAATTAAAGCATCGCATGAGCGAACCTAATGATTTGTGATCGGGTTGTACTCGTAATACATAAAATGGTCGATGATGATGCGTATTACATAAAATGGTCGATGATGATGCGTATTACATAAAATGGTCGATGATGATGCGTAATACATAAAATGGTCGATGATGATGATGATGATGATGATGATGATGATGATGATGATGATGTCCCTCCACTTTTTCAGTTGTAATGCTTCCTCCCCCTCTGTGTTTACACGCTTGGGACTGTGTCATACTGGCTGGTATGAGCTGCTTTAGGAATGTTTGACCTGTTTTGTGTTTGGATGACCCGGGAGGAGGGGGGGGGGGGATATTTGTAATTGAAAGGTAGCAAATTCCGATATCTGTCCCGATATCGGATAAGTTGGTTGGCAAGTGTGAAGTTGGGTGACCATTGAAGTTTTTGGTTCACAAGTGTACAGTTGGAAGAACTTTAAAGTTTTGAGGTTGGCTAGTGTAATAATATACCATTGTGACCTGCTCTGGCTGAGTGAGGTTTGCTACAACACCGCAACAGACAGAGGAAGGTACTTGGTAATGTAGACATGGGAACTTTCGGCTCGGGAACTGAGGCGGCGTCGGTACACTAATGTAGTCTTTTAGTTTTAGTTTCAGTAGAGGTTATACGGCGCTCGCAGCAGCATAAGGTCATGTGAGCGCCAAGGGGTGGATGTCAACAAAGAAGTCCTTACAGGAAATCAGACTTACTCTGCTCACCTCTCTAGCCCCAACAGCACAAAGTCTGCTTCGACTATCAAGGCACCCAGAAACAACGGTCACAAGAGAGTGACAAACATACAAAATAAATAAAGAAAAAATGACGATAGTAAGGGTAAGGAACGAAAAAGCAGCAGTTCCCTGTTGCAGTTCAGGCACAGTTATGAGCATTACATTGATGAATCAGCCCATTTACAATATTACAATTTAAAATTCTACTGTGCATAAGAACATATTAATGTCCTCCCTTTGGGAATGGCCTAAAGATACTTCAGTCAGTGGCACATCCCCGGTGGGTATTAAAATAGTCACATACCATGAAAATCAGGCGCTCGTCGATTTTTGGCATATGTTGTTTTTGGTATAGGACTGCTTGAAGTTCGTTCATGTGTCTTTCTTTAGATTCCGAACAGTACATAGGCCCAGCTATCTTGCATTAAAGTCTAGACAATCATTGTTATTGAATTAGGTGGGGGTCACCTGGTGGAAGAGGCAAAATTAACGAAAAAAGGCCGCCAAAGTATGGTGATTTTAAAGGTGAAAGTCCTTGAAACCTACAATTTTACATTTTAAGTCTTTTGATTAACGCTTTTCAGTAAAAAAAAAACCCAAAACAAACCAACCCACTTAGAAATATATTTTTAATGGACCTAAAAGGTGTTAAACAAAAAGAAAAAAAAATGTAAAAAGGAAAACGCTCCCTTCTAAAAACAACAACAAACAAGCAACAACAACAACAGCAACTACAAACCCTTGTTTCTTCGATTTGATTATTTTTCCTAGCCCCTGACTTGAGCACAGTGCCGCCTATACAAAGTTATTGGGAACCACAGAACAACAAAATGATTAGCGACTAAATGACTGCGACAGACGGCACTTGTGTCGAGATGGGGGGATGTGATGGGTCATTGATTTCTGCCGGGGAACCTCTGATGGTACTGTCGTCATCTACTGAATGTCAATAGACTCTCTGGAACGTAATCGTTGTGTGTGGGGAGAGAGAGACAGAGGGGGGGGGGGTAGAGAGAGAGAGAGAGAGAGAGAGAGAGAGAGAGAGAGAGAGAGAGAGAGAGAGAGA